GAAATGTAGGCCATAAACCTAATGAAAATGCAGTGTGACTGGAGAAATGTGGTATTTTGCAACGGTTTGTTCTGGAAATGATTCACCGAAACAGTTTCCCTCTTCCTTAATTGAAATACCTAGGTCTCATCTCCAGCCTCTTCCTACTGTCTCTTTCTTTCTCTGTCTCTTCAATTTGTCCTGGCTAATTGCATTTAGAACTTGTATGGCAGTTTGTAACTGCATTAACCTTAGTAGTCACATCAGGCAGAGACTATTTAAAAACACACCCCTATAGCACCAGTTGTATTGTGGGTAATGCCTCGGGGAGGTGTAACCAATCACATTGGAGTCGAGAGGAAGAGCTCATCATTTATTGGTCACACATTCTATTCAGCATCGCCCCACTACCCATTTCCAATACGGCCACTTCTGTCCCCATTCCTCTCTTTTTCAATTTCCTCATCTCAGCCTATTCGTGCCATCCATCTCACTTTCTTTTCTTCAAAACCACTCATTGCCAAACTTAATTTTGTTCTAGTGTCACACATCTAAAGATGAACGGTGGCAGTGAATAATAGAAAGATGCAAGAATGCTTCAGTTTGAAAATTCACCAAGGCTTTGGTTCTCCAGCTCTATTACTGTATTACTACAGCACTGGGAATAGATGACTACTGCCAAGTGCGGAGGCTAGAAAACTGTAACGCTGCCAGCCTGGTGACTCCTATGGTGCTTTCTAGGACAGTGAGGGTATATGGGAGCTTCATAAGTAAGAGCACTGTGATACTTGTCTCAGCGAGGGCTTGTTGTTCTGCTAGCTGTTGGACTCACTCACACACAGGCTGGTGCGTAGGATAAGGACAACCATGATGGCCATGTCAGGCTGTTGTCCTTTTCTTCTGCAATCTGATGTGTAGGAGGAAGTCAAACACACACACACCCTTAAATGCAACAGACTGAGCTAGTCAATCTCAAAGATCTGAGTATGGAGGTGTGCACAGAGGAACTACAAGTGACCGTTCGCTTCAAACAGCTTCACAGCACCCAAGTTAAATACATAGTGCAACCCTTAACAACACTCAACGGAGCACAAACAACAACAATTGCTCCAGTTAAAAAGACACACAATTTAAGCGTAAGAAAAATAATGAATTTCAGAAAATTAAAACTGTTTCAATCAAACCATGTTCTTTCACCAAGTGGGACTTACTATGGTGCCACTGCAACTGGTATTGCTAGTATCAGAGTAGTTTGGAATTTTTCCGACTGTTTCCTGGAGCCAGAGTTTACTGTAGCTCATTCCTAGCTGCCTCAGAACTGTCATTCAAAAACATGTCAGATACAGGCAAATTGCCACACTGAGGCATTTGAGAGACATATTCCTTCATCATGATACTTCTAGTTTGGTTTACTTCTCTTGTCAATCTACAGTAGTAAAGAAGTGTAAACCTGGAATCGTATCTTTAAACATGTTTGTTCATATTTGTGTGAACTGAGGCTGTTTCCTAAAGATCAAACATGTAATGACAGAGTGGGGCTACAGAGACAAGGGGATTTTAGAGGTAGCCGCGTGATGAATTAAAGGCCAATATTCATTGTTCCGTTTACTCCACCAACACCCGAGGCAATTATCTTTCTCTTTCGCTGCTAAACACTTTGTTCACCATCTATTGTCTAATGTGTGCTGTTTGGTGCTAGCAGGTAGCGTGCTGTGGGATTTCAAAGTGTTCAAATTGCGTTTAGCTGCTGGAAATACAGTTGATTAGAGTGGTGATATTAACCCAAACTGTCCAGTTGTGTGCTAAAAAACCATGAACTGAAATATGAGATTAATCTCTTTAGAGCTGAGGGTAAATGCAGAATTGGGTAATAATTCCCTGTGGCTTTTGTCAAAACAAGATTAACATTACACGCAGATAATTTCCTAATCGAAAAATATTAGTTATTATCATTAGTAGCTTTAAGTATGTAGGCCAATATTTCATTACCGGGAAAACTTAATAGCCAGTGAGCCACTCTGCCTTCCAACCATTCAAAATATTGGAGGAAAAGAACAATGCAAATGTGAAATTGAACCTTTTCTGTATGAGAAAATAATTATTTGTATGCATCTCTGTGTCACTCTCTGATGTAGTGGACATAATCCAGTATATGTGCCCAGATGGACAATTATTCTTCCCAAATGTGTAATATTAGTGCAATGCCTAAGGCAGTATTGGCACTTGGGTGCTGAGCAGCGCTACATTTTTCATTTGATTAATCTAAGTTTAGTATCACAGAGGGTAAAAAAAGACACACACACTTGCCGTCTTCTAATTTTCTTAACAAAGCGTCTATACAAAGCAGGGATCGTCTTTCCAGGCAATCACCCATACGCACAGCAGCAGTGTCTGATTCTATTTGACGGACAATACAACACATGAAAACACAGCGTCATAGTATCAGGGAGAACAGTTTCCAGGTGCAGAAACTGTTTGCCTCCTCAGGCAGCAGCTTAAGTTCTACCATAAAACCCTCCCCATGCTCTTTGTACAGATAGGTGACAAAGGATGAAACACATCCCTTTGAGTAAACCTTAATGCAGCACTCAGGACACAGATTACTGCGTGGCCTTCTATCCCTACAATTAACCCAAGCACCAATCCTCAGAAGCACACACTCAGTCCTTCTAGCTCATATCCTTCCTTCCTGCCTATAGTTTCCCGACAATACTCCCCTGCTTGTGGTTGTCCTTTGATATCACCCTTGAAACACATATTCTCAAAAGGCAGCATCAGCAAAGTTTCGTAGAAAATATATAAATAAGAGCAGAAGACAATAAGAGAAAGAGACCAGGGATGATATATGGAGGCAAACAGATGACAGAATAAAAGACATTAGAACGAGGAGGAGAAAGGGATATGAGGGGGAGGGGAGATAGGGCAAGGTATTGTTTGCCAATGAGGGCCTAGGGGGCGTGAAGCTGCTGGGGGATCACAGAGGGGCTCAAGAGCAGAGCAGAGGAAAGAGGGGAGAGACCCTGCCTGCCGCGTGCCCCTGACCTCTGGAACTGGGTTAAGAGGTTAGAGACACAGAAAGGCTCATATAACGGTCCCTCAATACCTCCGCTCGCACACAGCCCTCTCACATGCATTTCTATAAATACAGAGTGCTATCAGCAGTGCTGTTTGACAGTGGCCTGCGCCTGAGCCCTGCCCCACATTCAGATCATACTGCTCATCCTAGAAAATAACACTTAGTCAATGAAAAGCTGAGCCTATTGATCTGTTGAGCGCACAGTAGAGAAAAAGGCATAACAATATTGGTGTTGGTCAATTCACAGTGAAACTCACAAAGTGGCTTCAATTCACTATAGGACACAAGTAACTTGACAGTTTTAGTAAAAAATAAGTGTTGGACCCTGAGAGGGAGGTCAGCCGTGTCAGGGATAAAGGCATGAAGTTATGAAGGGAATGGAATTTCGTATAACAGCTGAGGTTCAGTACTGCAGGCCTGTTGGTTAGATCTGAACATGGACATGAGCCACAGCGATGAGGAAGGAGTAGACGGAAACGAATGCTTCTGTTTGAAACAGTCACACCACACCAACACAGCGGGTGCGTTATTGAAACAGCTCTGGGCAAGGAAAGAATTCAGTAGGTGTGGGAAGGAGTGTGTATGTGTGTGGGGGAGTGATGGAGATTGAGAGAGATAGAGGAGAGAGCTTGGTTTCCCCCGGACAGGTGGGACTTTGTGTGAAACTGGAGAGCAACACTTCCTCTCATCACACTCGTTTATATCACAGCTATTCTTTTGGCATGGGTCCTGCATGGTTATTGATTTCTTTTTTGTGACTGTCACAGATCTGATAGTTATGCAACTTATGCCTTAGTTTTACTTGGACTTACACAACAATAACACATTCAAGTTCACAGCACATCAGACATGAAATGAGTCAACTGAAACTACATCCTTGACTTTTTTTGTCAAAATCAGTTTTATAATTTCATTGACATTATGTGTATATGGTATATTCCTACAAGCTAACTCACACAAAGCAAACTTAAGGCAGGATAGTATTCCAATGACAAATTGTGTAAAATAATAATAAGACATTGTATTTGAATGCACCTTTTACAAAGGCACACGATGTAAGCACATTTAAGTAGGGCAAGTATAGAAGAGACATTTAAAGTAGACACAAATGATTGGGACATAACATTCAAATGAAACTTAGAGAATGGTAAACACTACTGTGAGTAGGCTACATTTAACAGGTGAGCTTTGAGGTGAGATTTTTATTTAGTGATGGTGTCGGACTGTTTGATGTGTAGTAGGGGGACTTCCAGAGTCTGGGAGTATTGCAACTGAAAGCCCTAGCACCAATGAATGGGTAGTCTACTATGTGCACTTAATACCTTATGGGTACTCAAAAGCAGCAGGATACTTGCAAGATTCACAGAGAGTGTTAAGGGTCAACAGGAGCTTACAGGTCTATTTTTCCTTGAAAATAATGTAAAGACCACTTGCAAAATAATTTACTTTTCTGATAAAAGGTGGGTCATAGTACCATTAACGCCAACACTTTGTTCAAACACTTTCTCTGTTTTTGAAAGGGCCAAGTGGCAACCTCCAGTCCTGAAGATTAAGCCAACACAGAAGTGACAAAAAATACAGTTCTTCCAATGGCTCCAAATATAAGTCAATCACCCATGTTTACATTTCTTTCTTAAAAAGCATACATAATAATATACATACATAATACAATACATAATCTGCCATAAACGGCAGAAAAGGGTGTCAAGAAGTTAGTTTCTCTGTTCATGAGTAATGTATGGGGGCTGATATTTAGGCTTACAATTGGTGTGTTGACGAGTTTGGTGGCTTTGAGTGACAGGTAGGTGCTTTTAGAGGTCAACACCTGCTAGCTGTCAGCTCTGCTACGTCACTGGATTACGCCTCAGCTGACCCAACACTCCACTTATTTGCCCATTTTTGGGATAGTGTGTGTGTGTGTTTTTGTGTGTGCTTAGGGACTCACCAGTGAGGTTGGTGCGTGCGCTGTAGGATCCCAGGTACCGCCCATCTGTGTTAGGTGTGTAACACTCAAACAGACCCTGGTCGTTGGCCTGCACTTTGGTGATGTGGAGCATAGCTGAGTCACTGCTCAGCCTCTCCACAGTGATCTCTTTACTGTCGACCCTCTGGGCATACACGGCGTAGGCATAGTTTGGCTGAGCCGTGCTTACGATGCGGATCTCCCTGTCTGCTACTGATGGCAGGTACATGGACCACTCAAAGTCCTGCTCCATTCCCTCTTTGTAGCCCGTCACGTTGCACAAGATGGTCACGTGAGAGCCCTCAGTCCGTACCAGCGGTCCACTTTGCACCGTTACAACTCTCTGAGCCACGGCAACACCAGCTGCAGATGGAGGTGAGGTGAGAGGAGGGGAAAAAAGAAGAGAGAGAACAAGGGTTACAAAACTGCAGTTTAAATATTTAACATTTGCCGACTTTATGCACCTTACATCTCCCAGGAAACACAGAAACAGCGTGACGGGTGCAGCTGAGCATTCTGGAGAGCACTCACTGAGGTGGAGGTGTGCACAGATACACAACCACATGAATGCACACATTTTTTGAACACAAGTAGCCACTTTAAATATTCAAAGCAGCTCTTAAAAAGCTGTCATCCAAACACGCTCAATGCTATTACACACACTCACACGTTAACCCTTCACCTCACAGACAACACTGCTGCTACATTACACTCGAGGTGAGAGGCGGCCATCTGGGAGCGAGAAGAGAGGTTAGTGTGAGCGGCAGAAACGCAAGTCAGCACTGCATGTTGAGTGTGTCTAGCTTCACCAAGTACATGCATTTTTTGAAGTAGATAGTAATTACGGTTTTGTCTGATGCATGGATAATTATGAATAATAACACTGTGACCGATATAGGTGTCCGTGTAAATGTCTTAACAAAAATGCCAACAGTGAATTATATAATTTCCATTACATTCATTGGTCTATCCAGCAGCGAGCACAATTCTATAAAAGATTGTAATTAAAAATCAATTAAATCTAGACAAAAGTGTCCAACATCTTTCAAGTTCAATTATATAAATGAATGCTGCTTTGTCAGATGTCAAAACTGCTACCCAAAAAAAATGTACACGCTTATTATTAAAATACCTCACCATCCAAATACCCTCATTTGCTCCTTGGACGCATTTGTTACTCTTAGGATTATGAGGATGGGGATTTATGAGGATCTCTTTTTAACAACAGGGATTTATTTGTATTATTTGCATTTTGCCAATAAAAAACTAAGAGCATAAGAATCTAAAAAGGATAACATTCAACATTTTGTTTTTGCAGATTTTATGTTTAAGAGGAATACAAATGAAATATGCGGTTGTCCTCACATGTTCTCATCAACAAAGCATTAAGTTATTAGAGTGAAACATGAGACATGTAGTGAGGGTTGTAAGAAACTAAGAGCTAACTTAAAACGCAAACCCCTGGTGATGATTACTCTGCTTTATAAATTATGATGCTTTGTAGCCTATATTTAGGTTGACAGCATATGTGAATCTTGCTTCTACCCCTTGCATTAACACACACCAAACACTATTCTCCATTGAGAGAACAACTACAAACATCTCTCTCATTGGGCCCAGATACAACAGAGCACTTACACATAAACCTCCCCCAAACCAGACAGAGCGACAAGCGCAGTGTTTCCTGTCTGCAGAGGCAACTGGGGATTGCAGCTGTGTTTCTGTGTGTGTGTGTAGGAGTTTTTGTATGTGTGTGTGAGTGTGTGTGTTTGAGAGAAAGTCTGTGTAATTCTGTGTCTGAGGGCAAAATAGTTGGCATTAATAATTTACCGGAACAGCTTTTTAACTTCAACAGCCTCTCTCCTTTAATAAGTTACATTCTCTTACACAAACCCCCCCTTTATTAACTTTTTTCACTATGCGTCCAAATAAGCCTACATGTGTGAGTCTATGCATAATCAGACATAAGTGGGTGTCTGTGGATCATGCCTTTTATTTCCTTCCTGTATTTAAAGTCCTTGGTGTATATCTTGCTTTTTTTAGCCACATTCCGCTCTTACGCCAATAAAATTCACACTACCATCCCAAAGGGAAACTCATTAAAGTAATCATTCTCTATGGCTTGATTTCTCCTCATAGACCCCCACAGGATTAACCAGGATACAAAATTGTAAATTTCAAAAATGCTGCAATGTCATTTAAATACAACGTTGTTTTTAAGAGAACATGTAAAAAGGCTTCATTTGAGTTACAACAGAGATATTGTCATAATGTTTTAGTGTAATGTTTCTCTAAACTGCAACTGAAATTTGCCTATAAAAAAATAATAAGAACACTAAATTAAGTTTGAAATGATAAACAAAGATAAGAATGATCTGAATTAATATTTAATAATTATGTACTTGTTAAATCCATTTCCTAGTTTCATTAAATTATACAAAACATATCCTGATGCCTTTTACACAACTATTTTAGACATTTTTATTGTTTTAAATCAATTTTTTTTTTTTTTTTTTACCTGCAAAACCTATGGTCTAAGGGATTTAGGGTCAGTTAACATAGGAAATCCTTCTAAAGTGAGCAAGGAACAAAATTCTCTGGACTTAAAAACTGAAATTGACAAAAAGTCTGTGGCAAAGTGTGTTGACGAAATCTGTATTCTGACTCAGACTTTCTTCACTGTGATGTCAGTGTGCTAATCTGGCGGCGCCCGGTCTACCCACATCCAGCTCGGAGCTGTGCCGCTGCATCACTGCTTCTCAGGTTGCAGCTACTCATATGGAATTGCTGGAAAAAATATTACTCATACAATCTCAAAAATACCTTACTCGTACTGTTGGTGCATTAAAAGCTTTCCTCCCCATGTCTGTGTGCTGTCATCCTCCTGAAACAAGCTGCCTCCTCGCTTCTGATTACTCTCACTGCCTTCCTGCATGTTTCACCGATCATCAATCCTCTCTGTATATTCCTGTCTCTTCTCTTTGCCTCACAGTTCTCTGCATCTTTTCAGGCAGGATTTAAGCAGCTCTGTGAAACTTCAAAGTGCCCATCGCTCTGCAGGCTGTTTAGAAAGGCTGACAATGACATACCAAACCCTGCAGACCATCAACTGATCGCTCTATTCCACCAACCCGTCCAAAATAATCCTGTTCCCGCAACTTCCCCCACTTCTTCACCTCTGGCTGCGCTGCCTCAAACGTAGAGTGCCCATATTTGCTCAACAAAACCTCGGATTTTTCTATTATTAACCCTCATCTCCATCTCTGGATACCACGGATGTCTGTCTAGCCCACTCCTCCTCACGCCCCCCCCCCCCACTCTGGCTTACCTCTTATGTGTCTCATCTCATGCTGCCAGTCCCTTCCCACACAGCTCATTGACTGGACACAGGAGATGTCCAATGTCACATAATGGGTGAATGACTACGGAAAAACTCTATAACTGACCTTGCTGTTTGTCTGCAGGAGCATCCGGAGCTATGGGAGTAGATGACTCCAAACACACACAAGCATACAGACACACACGCTCATACAGACACACACACAAAAAGCTGGAAAGAGGATTATTCTAAATGGAAGGGGGGTTAAATGCTAATCCAATCATTTGTGGCCAGTGTCTTATTCTCCGTGGAAACAGCAGGAAGGCCACTAGTGTCGTGGATATTTTAAACTCGTCAATACTGTAAAGATGTACAATGAGAGTGATCAATAATAAACTGGTGAAAGCAAGCAGCGTTGTCTTTTGTTGGTTCTTTATTTGAAGCGCTTCAAAGGGTACATGTCTCACAGAGTACAGAGTAGTCTGCAGGAGTGCACGCAAGGTATACGCCACGGTGTGTGTTTTATAGAGGACTGTTGCTGTGCAGGAAGTAAAAGAGATAAGACTTTCCTTAGAAAACTGTTATCTTACAATGCTCTCATAGGAAGGGCCGCATCCTCCAGGTACGACCTTGGCGGGAAGCTACCGTGTGGTACAACAGGTCGAGTTGACCAAACAATTTCTAAGCATAATATCATCATTTGGTTTTACTATATAAAGTAATATAAGAAATTGCCACTACACTAGTCTTCAGGACTACTACTCACAACATCACTCTCCTGTGAGACATTATAATTACACACCAAGAAAGGTGTGTAATAAAACCACTTCTGGGTNTTGCGGGGAAGACATCTTGCGTGCTCTGAACCGTATTGTTTACATCCCTCAGCTTCCGTTCCGCTTCTCATGCCACTGATTCGCTAGCTGAACAGCCAATCAGGAGTCGATTATTTGGCCGACTGCCCGACCCGACGCCGCATGGGCAGATTCACATCAACAATAAAAATCAGATGTTTATTTAGTATAGCCCAATATCAACAAATGTTACATTTGTCTCAGTGACTTCACAGTTCGTACAGAATATCAGTATGACAATACGCACACCCTCTGTCCTTAGACCCTCACAATCGTACAAGGAAAAACTTCCAGAGAAAACCCCACAGTTTAAAGCGGGACAAAAATGGGAGAAACCTCAGGGAGAGCAACAGAAGGAGGGATCGCCTCTTCCCAGGACGGACAGGACGTGCCAATAGATGCCGTTGTGTAAATTGAAAAAGATAATACATTTCTTAAACATTAGGTGCCAAGAATTTGGAAATGCCATGTGTGTATAATAGGAGAGACTGAACTCCACGAGATATCCATCCAGACTTATATCCAGGGACCCATAGCCACGGACTCGCGATCCCAGGACTCGCGACCATGACACAGGACCGGCCAGGACGTTCCATGACTCGGACTCCCGGCGTATATAGACCACCCCAAAAAGAAAAGGATAATTGGCGAAGCGGGGTTAAATCGGAACATGAGAGGTACACAGGTATAGACAAGAGAGAAGGACAAGAAGTAAGATGTCCCCGACAAAGTAAGGCCGTATATCAAGGCATAACTAGGGGGCTGAATCTAACAAGCCCTACTCATAAGCTTTATGAAAAAAAGGAAGGTCGTTAAGCGCACTCTTAAAAAACCGGATAGGGTGTCGTTGCCGTCCGAACACAAACTGGGAAAGCTGATTCCCACCAACAAGGTGGAGCTGATAAGAAAAGGCTCTGGCTCCCCATTGTTTACTTTAGAAACTCTAGGAACAACCCAACAACCCTGCATTCTTGGAACGCAATGGCCCTAGTAGGACATTAGGGTATAATGAGGTTCTTTAGGTAAAGATGGCGCCTGCCCATTAAGGGCTTTGTAGGCGAGAAGAATAATTTAAATTCTATCCTGTGTTCTAATAGGGACCAAGTAAGGGGCAGCCGAACAGGATTAATTGGTCCCTGTCCTTTAACCTCTGGTTAGTACACGAGCTGCCGAGCAGGTTTTGAATCAGC